GAGAAAATCTTTGCAATCTATCTATCCAACAATGGGCTAACATCCAGAATCTACAAAAAAATAAATTTACAGGAAAAAAAAAAACAACCCCATCAAAAAATGGGCAAAGGATATGAAGAGACACTTCTCAAAAGAAGACATTTATGTGGCCAAGAAACGTGAAAAAAGCTCATCATCACTGGTCATTAGAGAAATGCAAATCAAAACCCACTGAGAAACCATCTCACATCAGTTAGAATGGTGATCATTTAAAAATCTGGAGACAGATGCTTGAGAGGATGTGGAGAAATAGGAACACTTTCATACTGTTGATGGGAGTGTAAATTAGTTCAACCATCATGGAAGACAGTGTAGCAATTCCTCAAGGATCTAGAACTAGAAATACCATTTGACCCAGCAATCCCATTACTGGGTATATACCCAAAGGATTATAAACCATTTTACTATAAAAACACATGCACACATGTGTTTACTGCAGCATTGTTTACAATAACAAAGACTTGGAATCAACCCAAAATGCCCATCAATGATAGACTGGATAGTGGCACATATACATGATGGAATATTATGCAGCCATAAAAAAAGATGAGGTCATGTCCTTTGCAGGAATGTAGATGAAGCTGGAAGCCATCATTCTCAGCAAACTAACACAGGAACATTAAACCAAACACTGCATGTTCTCACTCATTAGTGGGAAATGAACAGTGAGAACACATGGACACAGGGAGGGGAGCATCACAAACTGGGGCCTGTCTGGGGGAGGGGGGCTAGGGGAAGGATAGCATTAGGAGAAATACCTAATGAAGATAATGAGTTAATGGATGCAGCAAACCACTATGGGACGTTTATACGTATGTAACAAACTTGCACATTCTGCACTTGTACCCCAGAACTTAAAGAATAATTTTTTAAAAATCACAGCAAGTCATATGAGACTTAAATCAGTATGAAGATATGAGGACATAACAGAAAAATAATTTTAAAATTAAAAAAATTAAAGACAACCATAAAAAATAGGGGTTCAATACTGTAAAACATGATACCATGTTTTAATATGCATATGATAAACTATTAATATACATGCATATATATGAAAATAGGTACACTGAGAAATATGAAAGGGATATATCAAACTAGTAGTGAAACACTTTTTTTCTTGTTAGCATTTTTCATTATTTTCAATATAATGTGTATAAACTTTATATAACAAAAAAAATGCAATTGATAGCCAGGTGCAGTGGCTCATGCCTTTAATCTTAGTACCTTGGGAGGCCAAGGCAGGTGGACCACTTAGGTCAGGAGTTCAAGACCAGCCTAACCAACATGGTGAAACCCTATCTCTACTAAAAACACAAAATTAGCCTGGTGGCGCACACCTGCAATCCCAGCTACTTGGAAGGCTGAGGCAGGAGAATTGCTTAAACCCGAAAGGCAGATGTTGCAGTGAGCTGAGATTGTGCCATTGCACTCCAGCCTGGACAACAAAAGAGAAACTCCATCTCAAAAAAAAAAAAAAAAGAAATGTAACTGACACAAGCTTCATAAGCTCAACTTTCATCACAAAATCTAAGTTTAGATACAGGGTTTCATAACAAGAGTAATTAAAATTGATTTTTAATGTGCTCTAGTAAACAAAGATAGGAAATTGCTCAGTTATATAACTTTTTATCAAATAGTAAATACAAATACATCTAATATGCAACTAAATTTAATCACTATCATTTATTGAACTCTTTGATGTGGGGGAAGATTTCAGTGACCTGTTTCCCTCTAGGGAATAAACAGGGCTTTAGTATTTCTTAAGCTTATAGCCACATCATAATACATACCCATCTGATTCCCAGGATTTTGTCAAACCCTCTCCCCAATTAAAGTTGCTGTTTTTAAGACTTTTAGCCACGACACAGCTTAGAAACCCTAAATCAACATTCGTCACTGATAAATGGTTTTCTAAATTCCACAAGGACTCTATGTTCTATGTCACAGGACATAGATTGGAAACAGATGAATTCTGTTTCCATCAGAGATATAATCTTGATGATTTGGGCTTGCTTTGATACTCTGACTTTACTCCTAAAATAAGATAAAACCACCATAAAGTAGCATCCTGTTTCATCTATCATAGTGATTTTCTTTGTTGGTACTCTTAATAATAATCCTTGTAGAGTGCATATACCTCCCTAACCACATTTTGGCAATTGGCCAGACTTTTGATAGCAAAAGATAAAACTGACAAATATGCTTTACCCTTTGCAGTTTTAGACATTCTAATTTTATCAAGGTTAATACTATTTCATACATTTTCTGGACTAAAACATAAAAAATAATACTTTCCAGCACTCCATAAGATCAAAGCATTATAAAGTCACATTCATTGGGTAGCCTCTTCATTGTGAATATATTAAAATAAAATGCAATTTGTTAAGATGAATAAATAATGGTGTTTTCTGAAATAACATCTATAGTGATGGGATGTAACAATGCAGTATTACCAAACTTCCAAATAAAACTTGACCATGCTAATTAAATGTTTTCTATAAACAGAAAGGTATAATGATTTAGAATACATATCCCCACATGGGGTAAAATTACCTCTGAAATGAATTAAACATTGCCACTTAATCACGGTGGAAATATGAACATATAATTAGATAATTACCTCCAAAGACTGAGACATTTAAATTTATGCTTATTCTACTACAAATGTAATATTCTAAAGTTGGTTACTATGACTGACTACAATTAAATTAAATATTTATTTCTAAAACAAAACCATCGCTAAGTCTCAGATTAATGAGAACTAAAATAATCATGCTCAAAAAGTGAATACATTTTAATTAGTCCTTTAGATTATAATGTACTATTTATTACTTTAAAATTGAGCCCACTGAAACAAATATTTTCATAAATTATATAGTCTGGGCCATTTTTGTAGCACAAAGAAAATAATTGTTCTAAAAGAGAAAAATCTTACTATGATATTGTCATTCTCAATAAATATCTCTCGGTTCAGGTCCTTGCTCCACTAATTATTAGCTCTGCAACTTGGGCTAAGTTAAATTCTCTGTGCCTTTGTTTCCTCATCTGCAAATGATGGGCAATAATAGTTATTTTTAAAATTGTTTTAAAGATGAGATGAGAAATTATTATCTGCAAATTATTTAGCCAAGTGCCAAGGAAATAAATCCTAGCTATTTTTATCTAATGCAAGGACGAATGCCAACATAATTTACATAGTCTCTTAAGCCTCAACATTGGAGGCTTATAAGTTTACAAAGAACCCTCATTGTAGTTAATAATAAAACAAACCACTAAAGCAAATACAAGTCATAAGATAATAAAATTGCATATTTGTATTAATAAAGTATTTTGGCCTATTACCAATTCAATTCAACTAATTATAGAGAAAATTCTTTATTTAAAGAAATGAAAGACTTACTCAACAATGACAAAAATCAACTTCAGTCACAGATTTTAAGTGGAATAACATAAATGAATATCATTTACAAAATTCCAAATAATTTATATATATTTGAACACTTTAATTTCCAGATAGAAATGTATAAAGCTATGTACTACATAAGGTTTCGGTCAACATTGGACCATGTATACTATGGTAGTCTCATAAGATTATAATGAGACTGGGTGCAGTGGCTCATGCCTGTAGTCCCAGCACTTTGGGAGGCTGAGGCGGATGGATTACCTGAGGTCAGGAGTTCGAGACCAGCCTAGCCAACATGGCGAAACACCATCTCTACTAAAAAGTACAAAAAAATTAGCCAGGCATGGTAATGTGTGCCTCCCAGCTACTTGGGAGGCTAAGGCAGGAGAATCACTTGATCCTGGAAGGTGGAGGTTACAGTGAGCCGAGATTGCACCACTGCACTCCAGGCTGGGCAACAAACAGAGCAGAACACAGTCTCAAAAAATTAAAAAATAAAAAAAATAAGATTATAATGAAGGTGAAAATTTCCTATCACCTAGTAATGTCTTGATGATCCTGACCCCATGCAGACCTAGGCTAACTTGTGTATTCTATGTCTTAGTTTTTACCAAAACAGTTTTAAACGTTAAAAAAGGATTTCAAAAGGAGAAAAACACTTACTGAATAAGAATATAAAGAAAATGTTTTTGTACAGCTTTACAGCATGTTTGTGCTTTAGGCTAAGTGTTGCAAAGAAGTCAAAGTATACAGTGCTTATAAAGTCTACAGTAGTATTCAGTAACATCCTAGTCTTCACATTTACTCACCACTCATTCACTGAGTCACTTAGAGCAACTTCCAGTCCTTCAAGCCCCATTCATGGTAAGTGCTCTACACAGGTATGTGATTTTTATGTTCTGTACAATATTTCTACTGTACTTTTTCTCTGTTCAGATAACATAAATCCTTACCATTGTGTTACAACTGCCGAGAGCATTCTGTACGGTAACATTCTGTACAGGTTTGTAGCCTAGAAGCAATAGGCTTTACCATAGAGCCTATGTGTGTGTGTAGAAAGCTATGTATCCAGGTCTGTGTAAGTATATTATATGATATTTGCACAACAAAATTGTCTGACATATTTCTCAGAGCACAGCCCCATCCTTAAAGGACATATGACTGTATTTCAGATGAAAATGCAACCTCATTTAAGGAAGGGACACCGAGGGATCAAATGCCAACCACAGCTGGATAAGGTCAAATTAAAGTAGAAAGGGATTTGACTTGTATCTTACCATTTAAATGCCCACTGTAGTTTTATTTGGCATTTCTATGGCATTTCACACCAAAAGTTTAAAAAATAAAATTCTGTATAGACTTAGCTTTAGCAAAAAGAAAAAGAAGATCATGAGAAAAATTGATTGAATTGAAAAATAAAGATACCCTAAGGAAAATTCCTTGTAAGTAGTACTTCTTTACCAAAAAAAGAAAGAAAGAAAGAAGAAAAGTAAAACAAAAAGTAGGAGGCTGAAGCAGGGGACAAAAAAGAAATCAAAACCAAAATATTCAAACACCCTCTAACTATAAGGGACTTTAATATTGCAACATAACTAAAGAAAGAAACAAACCAAGAAAGGTCATACACATTGATATTCAGGCTATCAGGAAAATACCATTACAAACATTTTTTTAAAAGGCAGTTTTGTAAGCCTATTGATTCCTTTTGCACATTTCAAGGTAAAGTAGTTGCTTTGTAGTTGACTCAGTAATATAACAAAGAACTGTCAGGAGTCTGAATTTAATAAGAACCCTCTGTTTTTTAAAGAAAAACTGAAGACAAGTTAAAGCTCAAAACTAACTGGAACAAATGGTATGCAAGTGCATATGCATAACATGTAAACCACTTATGCAATAATTCCATTTTTCTTCCAAAGCATTGACTTATAATAAATCTTTCCTACTGCAATATAAATCCCAAGGTCACAGTCAAAGATATTTATTAGTATAATTACAATGTAGAAAAAAAATACAAGTAAACCTCCAGTTCCAGATTTCATAAATTAATATAATTAGAAGATTAAGAACGTGTCAAGTGTGTTTTAATTCTTCAGCTCTAAAAAGATTCCTAATGTAGTACTTTTTTTACATAATCGAATTTCCAGTTTTGTTTGTATTTTTTTAATTATATATACATATATACACAAACACACACACACATTATTGCACTTAAGGTTCTGGGGTACATGTGCAGAACATGTAAGATTGTTGCATAGGTGCATACACGGCAATGTTGTTTGCTGCCTCCATCCCCCGGTCACCTATATCTGATGTTCCTCCCCATGTTATCCCTCCCCAACCTCCCTACTCCCCCCAACAGACCCCAGTGTGTGATGCTCCCTTCCCTGTGTCCATGTGTCCCCACTGTTCAACACCCACCTATGAGTGAAAACATGCAGTGTTTGATTTTCTGTTATTGTGTCAGTTTGCTGAGAATAATGGTTTCCAGATTCATCCATATCCCTACTAAGAACACGAACTCATCATCATTTATGGCTGCATAGTATTCCATGGTGTATATATGCCACATTTTCCTTGTCCAGTCTATCATCAATGGGCATTCGGGTTGGTTTCAGGTCTGCTATTGTAAACAGTGCGGCAATGAACATGTGTCTTTATAGTAGAACAATTTATAATCCTTTGTATATCTACCCAGTAATGGGATTGCTGGGTCAAATGGAATTTCTATTTCTAGGTCCTTGTGGAATCGCTGTACTGTCTTCCACAATGGTTGCACTAATTTACACTCCAAGCAACAGTGTAAAAGTGTTCCTATTTCTCGACAACCTGTTCATCTGTTGTCTTCAGATTTTTTAATGATCGTCATTCTAACTGGTGTGAGATGGTATCTCAATGTGGTTTTGATTTGCATTTCTCTAATGACCAGAGGTGATGAGCATTTTTTCATATCTTTGTTGGCAGCATACATATCTTCTTTTGAAAAGTGACTGTTCATGTCCTTCACCCACTTTTGAATGGGTTTGTTTTTTCTTGTAAATCTGTTATAGTTCTTTGTAGATTCTGGATATTAGCCCTTTGTCAGATGGGTAGATTATTTCCATTTCTTGCCTGATGGATCTGGCTACAACTTCCAATACTATATTGAATGGGAGTAGTGAGAGATGGCATCTTGTCTAGTGCCAGATTTCAAAGGTAATCCTTCCAGTTTTTGCCCATTCAGTATGATATTGGCTGTGGGTTTAACATAAATAGCTTTTATTATTTTGAGATATGTTCCATCAATACCTAGTTTACTGAGAGTGTTCATCATAAAGGGCTGTTGAATTTTGCCAAAGGCCTTCCCTGCATCAATTGAGATAATGATGTGGTTATTGTCTTTGGTTTTGTTTATGTGGTGGATTACGTTTATAGACTTGCGTATGTTGAACCAGCCTTGCATCCACAGGATGAAACCTACTTGATCATGATAAATAAGCTTTTTGATGTGCCGTTGCAATCAGTTTGCCAGTGTTTTATTAAAGATTTTTACATCTATGTTCATCATGGATATTGGCCTGAAGTTTTCTTTTCTTGTTGAGTCTCTGCTGGGTTTTGGTATCAGGATGATGTTGGTCTCATTAAATGATTTGGAAAAAATTCCCTCTTTTTGGATTGTTTCGAATAGTTTCCGAAGGAGTGGTACCAGCTCCCCTTCGTATGTCTGGTAGAATTCGGCTGTGAACCCATCTAGATCTGGGCTTTTTTTTGGTTGGTAGGCTATTAATTGCTGCCTCAACTTCAGCCCTTCTTATTGGTCTATTCAGGGTTTTGATTTCTTCCTGGTTTAGGCTTGGGAGGGTGGAAGTGTCCAGGAATTTATCCATTTCTTCCAGATTTACTGGTGTATGTGCACAGAGTTGTTTGTAGTAATCTCTAATGGTAGTTTGTATTTCTGTGGAATCGGTGGTAATATCCCCTTTTTTTAATTTCATCTATTTGATTCTTCTCTCTTCTCTTTTTTATTAATCTGGCTAGTGGTCTATTTTGTTAATCTTTTAAAAAACACCAGCTCCTGGTTTTTTTATTTTTTGAAGGGTTTTTTGTGTCTCTATCTCCTTCAGTTCTTCTGTGATCTTAGTTATTTCTGATCTTCTGCTAGCTTTTGAGTTTTTTATCCTGCTTCTCTAGCTCTTTCAATTTTGATGATAGGGTGTCGATTTTAGATCTTTCCTTGCTTCTCATGTGGGCATTTATTACTATAAATTTCCTTCTAGACACTTCTTTAAATGTGTCCCAGAGATTCTGGTACATTGTGTCTTTGTTCTTGTTGGTTTCGAAGAACACCTTTATTTCTGCCTTCATTTCATTGTTTATCCAGTCAACATTCAACAACCAGTTGTTCAGTTTCCATGAAGTTGTGTGGTTCTGAGTTAGTTTCTGAATTGTGAATTCTAATTTGATTGCACTATGGTCTGAGAGACTGTTTGTTATGATTTCCATTCTTTGGCATTTGCTGAGAAGTGACTTACTTCCAATTATGTGGTCAATTATAGAGTAGTGTGATGTGGTGCTGAGAAGAATGTATATTCTTTGAATTTGGGGTGAGGAGTTCTGTAAATGTCTATTAGGTTTGCTTGGTCCAGATCTGAGTTCAAGCCCTGCATATCCTTGTTAATTTTCTGTCTCTTTGATCTGTCTAATATTGACAGTGGAGTGTTAAAGTCTCCCACTTTTTTTTTGTTTTGGCCAGAGCAGCTGTTTTGGGCGGTACACTGGTCTCTACACAAAATACACAGGTCCGGGCCAGGGCTGTTTTAGCTGGTGATTGGAGCTCTTGATAGACAGAGTCACCCATTCAACTGATAAAAAAAGGGGACTGAAACAGGGAGCCAGGCCAGGAGATTCCAGGGCAGAAAAGTGCCAGGAATCTCAGCGTGACTGTTTCAGCCAGCGCAGTGGGTTGCTACAAGGGAAATCACACAGACCCCAGTGCCTTTTCAACAGGTGACTAAAACACCAAGGAGGCAGAGTTGCCTGTTCAACTGAAAAAAAAAGGGGTGGTCTGAGGCAGGAAGCCAGGTGATCAGGCTCAGCTGGTCCCACACCACAAAAAAACAGCAATCTGAAACACTCTGAATTGACAGTTTCACAGCAAGCACAGCTGAACCCAGGAGGGTCCAGCTCTGTGGGGGAGGGGCATCTGCCATTACTGAGGCAGTCCACCACTATAGAGCTAATCCACCATTGCTAAGGCAGCCCACCATTACTGAGGCAGCTGACAATTACAGAGGTAGGCCACCACTGCCAAGGCAGTTCTAACTATACCCATATAAACAGGACTGCAGGGAAGTTCACATGGCAGCTGTGGCGGGGGGCCCACAGTAGCTCAGCAAAGCCTTTGCAGGCAGACACTGACTAGGCTGCCTCCTCACTGGGCAGGGCAGCCCTGAAAAAAGGCAGCAGCATGACAGAAACTTATAAATAAAGCCCTACATTCCTGGGACAGAGCACCTGGGGTAAAAAAAGAAGGGGGGAGTTTATGAGTTCTGCTGCAGCAGACTTAAATGTACCTGCCCAGCAGCTGTGAATGAACAAGAGCTCACAGCTCAGCACTTGAGCACCTATAAAAGACAGACTGTCTCCTCAAGCAGGTCCCTGACCGGCATATATCCAAAGAGTCACCTCATAAAGGAGAGCTCAGACTGACATCTGGCAGGTATCCTTCTGGGACTAAGACAGCAGAAGTAACTGGAAGCAACCCTTACTGTTCTGCAGCCAATACAAATAATCCCCAGGCAAGCAGGGCCTGAGTGGACCTCAGCAGTCCTACAGCAGAGGGACCTGAATGTTAGAAGGAACAATAAGAAACAGAAAGAAATAACTTCATCATCAACAAACTGGACATCCACTCAGAGACCCAATCTGAAAGCCAACAACTACAAAAACGACAGGTAGATAAATCCACAAAGATGAAAAGAAACCAGCACAAAAAGAATGAAAACACCCGAAAGCAGAAGGCCTCTCCCTCCTACAAGGGATCACAATTCCTCACCAGCAAGGGAACAAGGCTGAATGGAGAATAAGTATGATGAATTCACAGAAACAGGCTTCAGAAGGTGGGTAATAAGAAACTTCACTGAGCTAAAAGAACATGTTCTAACCCAATGCAAAGAAACTAAGAACCTTGAAAAAACATTTGACAAAATGCTAACGAGATTAAACAACTCAGAGAGGAATATAAGTGAATTGATGGAGCTGAAAAACACTACTTGAAAACTTCGTAAAGCATACACAAGTTTCAACAGCTGAATCAACCAAGCAGAAGAAAGGATCAGAGGTAAAAGATCAACTCAATGAAATAAAACGAGAAGGCAAGATTAGAGAAAAAAGCGTAAAAAGAAATGAACAAAGTCTCCAAGAAATATGGGACTATGTGAAAAGACCTAATCTATGTTAAATAGGTTTATCTGAATGTGACAGGGAAAATGAATCCAAGCTGAAAAATACTCTTCAGGATATTTTCCAGGAAAACTTCTCCAACCTAGCAAGGCTGGTCAATATTCAAGTCCAAGAAATACAGAGAACATTACAAAACTATTCCTCAAGAAGATTAACCCCAAGGCACATAATCATCAGATTTGCCAGGGTTGAAATGAAGAAGAAAATGCTAAGGGAAGCCAGAGAGCAAGGTCAAATTACCCACAAAGAAAAGCCCATCAGACTCACAGCAGATCTCTCAGCAGAAACTCTGCAAGCCAGAAAAGAGTGGAGCCAATATTCATCATCCTTAAAAAAAAGAACTTTCAACTCAGAATTTCATATCCAGCCAAACTAAGCTTCATAAGTGAAGGAGAAATAAAATCCTTTATGAACAAGCAAGTACTCAAAGATTTCATCACCACTAGGCCTGCTTTACAAGAGCTCCTGAAAGAAGCACTAAACATAGTAAGGAACAACCACTACCAGCCTCTCCAAAAACATGCGAAATGGTAAAGAGCATCAACACAATGAAGAAACTGCAGCAACTAATGAGCAAAACAGCCAGCTAGCATCAAAATGGCAGTATCAAATTCACACATAACAGTATGACCCTAAATGTAAATAAGCTAAATGCCCCAATCAAAACACACAGACTGGCAAATTGGATAAGAAGCCAAAACCCATTGGTGTACTGTATTCAGGAAACCCATCTCATAGTCAAGGTTACACAAAGGCTCAAAATAAAGGAATAGAGGAATATTTACCAAGCAAATGGAGAGCAAAAACAAGCAGAAGTTGAAATTCTCATCTCTGATAAAACAGACTTTAAACCAACAAAGATCAAAAGAGAAAAGGAAGAATATTACATAATGATAAAAGGATCGATGTAACAATAAGAGCTGAACAATCCAAGATGGCCGATTGCTAATATCTCGGGATTGCAGCTCTCAGTGGAAGCGCAGAGAACTAGATGACGCCACACTCTCAGACAAATTCTGGTCGCTCACGGAGCAGAAGAACCGCAGTGGAGGAGTCACATGGGTCGACAGCACGACTCTTGTGGCCAGCGCAGTGGTTTCGCCAGCACCTCGGCGCGGCAGCTCTCAAAGCAGAGTAAACAGGGCTGGCGCCCCTTCCGACCAAGGTTTGGAGGAGCCACACGGGTCCCAGCATGACTCCTGAGGCTGGCGCAGCAGCTGTGATGGCACCTCGGCGTGGCAGCTCTCGGCACAGAGTAAACAAGACTGGTTCCCCTTCTGACCGAGGTTTGGAGCCACAGGAAGGCAGAGTCACCTATTACGGACACAAGAAGGAAGTCAGACAGGAGAATCCTGGGCAGAAAAGCATCATCAGCCTTAACACCACTTTTCTGGCTCTGGGAACTAACAACTTGGGCATCCACTCAAGAGACCTAATCTGAAAGTTGGTACCTTCAAAGACGACAGGTGGATAAATTTACAATGATGGGAAGAAACCAGCATAAAAAGGCTAAGAATACTCAATATCAGAACACCTCTCCTCTAAAGATGATCACAGTTCCACATCGACAATGGAACAAGGCTTGATGGAGAACAAGTGCATCCCAATAACAAAATCACGCTTCAGGGAATGGATAATAAGAAGCTTCTGTGAGTTAAAAGAACATGTTGTAGCCCAACGTAAAAAAACTAAGAACTTTGAAAAAAGGTTTGATGAAATCCTATCAAGAATAGACAACTTAGAGAGGAATATAAGTGAATTAATGGACTGAAGAATACAATACAGAAACTCTGAGAAGTATGCACAGGTTTAAACACTCGAATTGTTCAAGCAGAAGAAAGGATATCAGAGGTCAAAGGCCAACTCAATGAAATAAAACGTGAAGAAAAGATTAGAGAAAAAAGGATAAAAAGGAATGAGCAAAGTCTCCAAGAAATGTGGGACTATGTGAAAAGACCAAATTTACGTTTGATAGGTGTACCTGAATGTCATAAAGAGAATGAATCCAAGCTGGAAAATACGCTTCAGGATATTATTCAGAAAGATTTTCCTAAACTAGCAAAGCAGGTCAATATTCAACCCCAGGTAATACAGAGAACACCACAAAGATATTCCTCAAGAAGAGCAACCCCAAGGCACATAATCGTTAGATTCACCAGGGTTGAAACGAAGGAGGAGAAAATAGTAAGGGCAGTCAGAGAGAAAGGTCAGGTTACCCACAAAGGCAAGCCTATGAGACTTACAGCAGATCTCTCAGAAGAGACTCTACAAGCCAGAAGAGAGTGGGGGCCAATATTCAACATCCTCAAAGAACAGAACCTTCAGCCCAGAATTTCATATCCAGCCAAACTAAGCTTCACAACTGAAGGAAAAATAAAATCTTTTATGAACAAGCAAGTACTCAGAGATTTTATTACCACCAGGCCTGCTTTACAAGAGCTTCTGAAAGAAGCTTTACACACAGAAAGAAACAACCAGTATTAGCCTTACTAAAAATATACCAAAAAGTAAAGAGCACCAACATAAAAAAGAATTTTCCTCAACGAATGGATAAAACAGCCAGTCAACATCAAATGGCAGTAACCCTAAATTTAAATTGACTAAATCCCCCAATCAAAAGACACAGCCAAAACCCAACGGCATGTTACATCCACACCTGTTTCACATGCAAGGATACACAAAGTCTCAAAACGAAGGGATGGAGGAAGAATTACCAACCAAATGGAGAGCAAAAATAAATAAATAAATAAAAAGCAGGAGTTGCAATTCTCGTATTGGATAAAATAGATTTTAACGCAACAAAGATATAGTGGTAAAAGGATCAATGCAACAACAAGAGCTAATGATCCTAACACCCAGATACATAGAGACTTAGATTCAATGAGACAGAAAATTAATAAGGATATCAAGGACTCGAACTCAGATCTGGAACAAGTAAACTTAATAAATATTTATAGAGCTCTCTACTTCAAATACACAAAATATACATTCTTGTCAATACCAAATCACACCTACTCATAGGTTTAAATGAAACATTGATTGGCCATTATTAATACCCATTTTTTTTTCAGAATAAAGCAATATTTCCATTCACCCTCCCTCTTTCTCTTCCTCATTCTTCCTCTCCTTTACTCGTTTTTTTTTTTCTTTCCTTCTCTCTCAAAAAAAAAAAATCAACTTGTAAACCTCTAGATCCAGGTCGGCAATGTCTCTCTCATTGCTTGATTTCCTTCCTCCCTTCCTTCCTTCCTTCCTTCCTTCCTTCCTTCCTTCCTTCCTTCCTTCCTTCCCTTCCCTTCCCTCCCTCCCTCCCCCTTCTTCCCTTCCTTCCTCCCTCCCTTCCTCCTTCCCATCCTTCCTGCCTTCCTCCCTTCCTCCACCCCCCAAAAAAAAACAAAAAGAGCTAACAATCCTAAAAATATACAGACCCAATACAGGAGCACACAGATACATAAAGCAAGTTCTTAATGACTTACAAAGAAACTTAGACTCCCACACAATAATAGTAAGAGATGTTAACACCCCATTGTCAATATTAGACAGATCAACGCAACAGAAAATTAACAAGGACATCCAGGACTTGAACTCAAGCCTGGACCAGGCAAACTTAATAGACATTTATAAACCTCAGCATCCCAAATCCATAGAATATACATTCTTCTCAGCACCACATTACCTACTCTAAAATTGACCATAAAATAGAAAGTAAGTCACTCCTCAGCAAATGCAAAAGAACAGAAATCATAACAAACAGTGTCTCAGACCACAGTGCAATCAAGTTAGAACTCAGAATTCAGAAATTAACTCAGAATCGCATAGCTTCCTGGAAGCGGAACAACTGGCTGTTGAATGTTGACTGGATAAACAATGAAATGAAGGTAGAAATAAAGATGGTCTTAGAAACCAACAAAAATGAAGACACAACACACCAGAATCTCTGGGACACATTTAAAGAAGTGTCTAGAGGAAAATATATAGCAATAAATGCCCAAGGAAGGAGGCAAGGAAAGATCTAAAATCGCCACCCTATCATCAAAATTGAAAGAGCTAGAGGAGCAATATAAAAAAAAAACTCAAAAGCTAGCAGAAGACAAGAAATAACTAAGATCAGAGCAAAACTGAAGGAAATAGAGACACAAAAAACCCTTCAAAAAATCAATAAATCCAGGAGCCTATTTTTTGAAAGATAAACAAAATAAACAGACTACTACCCAGATTAATAAAAAAGGAAAGAGAAAATAATCAAATAGATGCCATACAAAACGATAAAGGAAATATCACCAACGATTCCATAGAAACACAAACCATCATCAAAGATTATTATAAACAACTCTACGCACATAAACTAGTAAACCTGGAAGAAACAAATAAATTCCTGGACACTTCCACCCTCCCAAGCCTAAACCAGGAAGAAGTTGAAACCCTGAATAGACCAATAACAAGGGCAGAAGTCAAGGTAGCAATTAAGAGCCTACCACCCAAAAAACGCCCAGGTCCAGATGGGCTGACAGTCTAATTCTACCAGACATACAAAGAGGAGCTGGTACCATTCCTTCTGAAACTATTCCAAACAATCCAAAAACAGGGAATCCTTCCCAAAGCACTTTATGAGACCAGCGTTGTCCTGATACCAAAACCTGGCAGAGACCCAACAAGAAAAGAAAACTTCAGGCCAATATCCATGATGAACATAGATGCATAAATCTTCAATAAAATACTGGCACACCGACTGCAACAGCACATCAAAAAGCTTATCCACCATAATCAACTAGGCTTCATCCCGGTGATGCAAGGCTGGTTCAACACATGCAAGTCTATAAACATAATTCACCGCATAAACAGAACTAAAGACAAAAACCACATGATTATCTCAATTGATGCAGAGAAGGTCTTTGACAAAAAAAAAAAACCCTCAGTAAACTAGGTATTGATAGAATGTATCTCAAAATAATAAAAGCTATCTACAACAAACCAACAGCCAATATCATACTGAATGGGCAAAAACTGGAAGCACTCCCGTTGAAATCTGGCACCAGACAAGGATGCCCTCTCTCACCACTCCTATTCAATACAGTATTGGAAGGTCTAGCCAGAGCAATCAGGCAAGAAAAAAAAATAAAGGGAATTCAAATAGGAAAGGAGGAAGCCAAATTGTCTCTATTTGCAGACGACCTGAGTGTATATTTTGAAGACCCCATCGTCTCATCCCAAAATCTCCTGAAACTGGTAGACAACTTCAGCAAAGTATCAGGATACACAAATCAATGTGCAAAAATCACAAGCATTCCTATACACCAATAACAGACTTAAAGAGAGCCAAATCAAGAACAAACTGCCATTCACAATGCTACAAAGAGAAGAAAATACCTACGAATACAACTAACAAGAAATGTAAAGGACCTCTTCATGGAGAACTACAAACCACTGCTCAACGAAATCAGAGAGGACACAAACAGATGGAGAAACATTCCAGGCTCATGGTTAGGAAGAATCAATATCATGAAAATGGCCATACTGTCCAAATTTACAGATTCAACACTATCCCCATCAAGCTACCAATGACCTTCACAGAACTGAAAAAAAAAAAGAACACCTTAAACTTCGTATGGAACCAAAAGAGAGCCCACATAGCCAAGTCAATTCTAAGCAAAAAGAACAAAGCTGGAGGCATCACACTACCAAACTTCAAACTATACTGCAAGGCTTCAGTAATGAAAACAGCATGGTACTGGTACCAAAACAGAGATATAGACCAATGGAACAGAACAGAGGCCTTGGAGGCAACGCCACAAATCTACAACCATCTGATCTTTGACAAAAACAAGCAATGGGGAAAGAATTCCCTGTTCAATAAATGGTGTTGGGAAAACTGGCTAGCCATGTGCAGGAAGCAGAAACTGGACCCCTTCCTGACACCTTACACTAAAATTAACTCCAGATGGATTAAAGACTTAAACATAAGAACCAACACCATAAAAACCCTAGAAGAAAATCTAGGCAAAACCATTCAGGACATAGGCGTAGGCAAGGACTTCATGACCAAAACACCAAAAGCATTGGCAATAAAAGCCAAAATAGACAAATGGGACCTATTCAAACTCCACAGCTTCTGCACGGCAAAAGAAACAGTAATTAGAGTGAATTGGCAACCAACAGAATGGGAAAAAAATTTTGCAATCTACCTATCTGAAAAAGGGCTGATATCTAGAGTCTACAAAGAACTAAAACAAATTTACAAGAACAAAACAAACAAGCCCATTCAAAAGTGGGTGAAGGATATGAACAGACACTTTACAAAAGAAGACATACATGAG